GAAAAAGCTTGGACAGAAAACACTTTATCCCACATATAATTGTCTGGTAAATATTGGAGAGATAAAAAAATGTTTGATAAAACTTGGTAAGATAAGGCACTGTCTGACAAAAGCATTAGCAGATACCGAGTTGTCAGATAAACGTTTGTTTGATAATGGTTGGCTAGATAAAGCGTTGTCACATATAGTATTGTCTGATGGAGCATTCTCAGATCATTATTTGATAAAACATTGATAAGACACCGTCTGATAAAAGAATGTCAGAACTGATTTGTCGGATAAAACCTTGATAAGGTATTGTAGGATATATCATTCACTCTTAAATTATAACCTAAGAGTCGACTGTTATTCATGTTTATTAAAACAACCCTGCGTTGTAATTTTTTGTTATTTTCCATATTTTACATTCCTAAGTAACTTTCAAACCACCAACGTGACAACTTATTTATCAAGGATTATTTTTCTCCAGCTGAATTAACATCTTCCTAAACTCTATCGAACCGGTCTATTCTTCGTTGCTCTTCCATTTCCATGTATAGATAAAAAGAAGCTTAAGGTTATTTATCATAATTTGTTATTGTTTTTCGGTAAAATAAAACTCGTTTAAAGAATGACACCTTATTTTTTTTCGTGGTGACAAACAAGGAGAGAGATGTAAGCATAAATGTCATGTGATACAAGAATATCTAATCAGAATATGTATCAGTAGATTGTGCGAAATTATACGAATTATAATGTATCGCCAGACAGTGTAAAGACATAGTGTCACAATATATAGTTGTACAATTACCGGAAATGGATGATAGTATTTTCAATAATTATTTATTACTTAGTGTGTACTTCATTATTTAATCAGTATTATCAGTACAATAAAGAACCCATTCAACTGCATTACTTTATAAACAAGCCAATATCCCTATACAATTAAATTCAACACTTATCATTTCAGCAAGAATTCATAGCCACGCAGGTAAACTATCTCAGAAGATGTCGTTATTTTCAATGTCACCAGATATTCACATAAATATAAATGTGTTCTGTTTGGTAATGTTTCACAGAAAATAAATCCTATTGCTTCTTTTACTATTAGAGCTTCACATTTTCAGAAAGCATTTGTTGCTAAAATGAACACAGTATACAGCAATCGCAATGCATTTATGTTCAGCTTCAGATACTTGAAACTGATTATCGAATAGATCTGATCTTGCTATTTGTTGTTGATAAATGACAGCTGATTATCGAATAGGTCTGATCTTGCTATTTGCTGTTGGTAAATGACGGCTGATTATCGAATAGATCTGATCTTGCTATTTGCTTTTGGTAAATGACAGCTGATTATCGAATAGATCTGATCTTGCTATTTGCTGTAGGTAATGACAGCTGATTATCGAATAGATCTGATCTTGCTATTTGCTATTGGTAAATGACAGCTAATAATCGAATAGATCTGATCTTGCTATTTGCTGTTGGTAAATGACAGCTGATAATCGAATAGATCTGATCTTGCTATTTGCTGTTGGTAAATGACAGCTGATTATCGAATAGAACTGATCTTGCTATTTGCTGTTGGTAAATGACAGCTGATTATCGAATAGATCTGATCTTTCTATTTGCTGTAGGTAATGACAGCTGATTATCGAATAGATCTGATCTTTCTATTTGCTGTAGGTAATGACAGCTGATTATCGAATAGATCTGATCTTGCTATTTGCTATTGGTAATTGACAGCTGATTATCTATTGGTAATTGACAGCTTATTATCTATTGGTTATTGACAGCTGATTATCTATTGGTAAGTGACAGCTGATTATCTATTGGAAAATGACAGCTGATTATCTATTGGTAATTGACAGCTTATTATCTTTTGGAAATTGACAGCTGATTATCGAATAGATCTGATCTTGCTATTTTCTATTGGTAAATGACAGCTAATAATCGAATAGATCAGATCTTGCTATTTGCTGTTGGTAAATGACAGCTGATTATCGACTAGATCTGATCTTGCTATTTGCTATTGGTAATTGACAGCTGATTATCTAATAAATATTAACATGCGATTTTCTATTGGTAAATGACAGCTGATTATCTATTGGTAATTGACAGCTGATTATCGAATAGATCTGATCTTGCTATTTGCTATTGGTAATTGACAGCTGAGTATCTATTGGTAAGTGACAGCTGATTATCTATTGGTAAGTGACAGCTGATTATCTATTGGTAAATGACAGCTGATTATCTATTGGTAAGTGACAGCTGATTATCTATTGGTAAGTGACAGCTGATTTTAGAATGACTCGGTCATTGTAGTGTCCTGTGTTAACCCGTATGATTGATATTCCTTAATCAGATTTTAAAACTTTTGGCTTTAGGTATAAAAAAGAGCTTAAACTGGTCGTATCATGCAGTTATCATAAGATCACAGTATGACGTCATGTGAAAACGGTTTATTAAGTTCAAACTTATCTAGATTCAGGCGTCAACAAGATCTTATTTGTGTACTTTCAATTTTTAAGGTCCACATACATGTACTATAATTCCGTCCTCCAGTACACCATTCTACAAAACAAGAAAGAATTCGAAGACGATTTAAATCTGACATTTATATAGTTTATTACATTGCGTTTAAGCTTGTTGTTGCTCATTATTTTAAAAAATGGCTGTGCATTAACTTATATATTATATATACCCTTATCTTAACATAAATGGTATGTTAGAAAAGCAAATTAGAAAAAGGCAGACCAGACAGAAGCTTAATGCAGAGTTTAGTCTACAGTTTTAATTTCTCTATAGAGCGATTAAAACTATTTTAAATTAAAATTTCGTTGAAAATATATATTTCCAACGAGTGTTGTTATACGTACGTCTGAAATTTAAATAATATCATCCATCAGTTATTGCTTTTGTGACGATAAAGATGAGCAAAGATATCCTAATAATGATTTGGAATTCTGTTTAAATTAACCCTCCCCAACTTCCGCCGGCTTACGAGTCCGTCTCTATAGCAACAGCCAGTACAACAATAATCAAAAACGTATAATGTGTAAAAATACATAGTTTTCGTAATCGATGTACACGCAAAGTTTAATAAACAAATAAGATCGGATAGACACTTTAAAATAAAACTTTCTTTAAAATACGAAAAAAATGTAGACAAAACAAGCGGAAGTGAAATGTTCGCAACAACTCCCAAATTCCGAATTTGAAAAATGGATACATGCGGACAACTAGTGCACAGCTTGGAACGAGCCAAATGAAAAAATGTAATACTTGTATTGTCTACTAAACAATGCAATCTTACACACAATGAAGATATTAATTTAAAAGATGTCTTCTGTTTACTCAAGAACTGTGAAACTATCGTTTCCTTGCATTATCTGCCTTGTATTTTCCCCAGAGTTCAACTGGTAAAAATATAGGAATGTCAACAACCGATGTGACATCAAACAAAAGGAAAATACAAATCATCATTTCTTCCTGGAAAGATTGATTTATGAAGTGTGCGAAAACAGCGTTCTTGTTACAATTAGTTTCGTAAAAAGCTAATACATATTGAAAGGATTTGACACAACCAATAACCAAAGTAAAAAAGAATTCACAAAAATTACATTACATTTCAAAGAACAGCACAATCTACAGTACAGCTGCAAATAAAATATTTCTTCATAAACTTTTCCCATGATCGACTAACATCAATCTGCTGATTCTAAAGAAATGTTGTATTTCACATCATGCAATCAACAACCGCACAACAGAGTTATCGTTTATAATCACTTGCAACGTAGCTATCTCATTGTTATATATAAACGATTATAATTACTGTTTATATTGTTTATGTTGTATGTGGGGTACTATAACGGTGACAAGACAAACATGATCATAACATCTGGTAAATATTATTATTGTCGTGTGTTCAGTTATTAAATGGCGTGAGGAAAAGGAAATTATGATGTACCTCGTGGTATCATATCATAATAAACGTTAACCGACATAATTTTTCCCTATAATTATCGAACAATGTCTCTTCAAAAAGTGATGAAGTAAAGCAGGTCTACTTCAGTGTTGTATCGTATGTTGAGTCGAGATATTTCCTTTACAGATCAATTACCGTATTTTATCCAATAAAATTAAAATAGTATATCTAACAATATTACACTAGAACTCTTGAGCAGGATCGTTTACCCTATCTTATCGTTTGAAATCAATCTAATGAATGGATGTCATTTCGCCACTACAGTGCTAGACTATGATAATATAAATAATACCTAAATTCGATATCATTTATAAAACACAATACAGTCATTCGCGAGAAAATAATGAGAACTTATTGGTACTTTTTAAAGAGAGCTTGCATATGACCCCATTACCCATTTTACTAAGAATTATTAGTTTTAAAACTCATCAAATGAAATTGAAACATTGTAACAAGTACATAGTCATGAACGACACTTTCCTGTAATCCTAGTTAATTACTATATATTTATACATGGTATTGAAAAAATAAAACGAGACAAAAAATAGGATGTCGAATCATAGGTTAAGGGTAACAAATATATAATAAAGTTAATTAATACCTTAAATACCAAAAACGATATATAAAGACATACCCAGCCTTGGTTACATGTTAAAGAACTAATGAAATTGTATGCATGTATTAAAAATGAAGATAGAAAAATATATAATTATTATTATTATGAGTGACGTCAAAATTAGTACTGTAAATTCTCAATAATAAAACAGCTGGTTTTATGTGATCTGTTACTATCCTATTCCAATAACACCACACTGTGGTGCCCCCAATAGTTTATGTGCCGACAGGGTCATTAGTAAGCCCTGTAGACCGTTTGACAGTAATTGTCACGGTATAGACGTCGACAAGGATCTAAAACATCAAAACAATACTAAAAATCACATTCTTTTTTCATGGCTATCATGGTATAAATGAACATCACGATAAAGATAAATTCTTCCTGGTATTTAAACTTGAGATAACAAATACTCACCTGAAATGATAAGAGTCCACTTCATGCTTGTTTTCATTCTGCACTTTTTTAATTTGAACTCATATGGCATTAATTACCCGCCAAACGATATGTCGTCTGCTGACTTTCGTCCTGTTCGCTAGGGATGATGGGCTATGTCCATCAATGACTCGTCTTCTTCTGTTATCAATCGTTGAATAGCCTAGGGGGTGCTCAGAAGGAAAAAAACGAAGATGACTGCAGGTATATTTCCTCTGTGTGTGTGACAGTAAGGTGCTTGACATCAGTGATTCGTTGAAACGTTCAACACTTGTTTCCCAATAATATTCCTTAGAGTTTATAGGAAGCTGAACTAAACACACTCGATTGTATTATTTCCTTACTGCCGCCAGTGTCGACCACAAACTTTCCCGCCCTCCATTTGTTTATCCAAAGTAGCTTCACAGACATTGACTTACGCTGCACGCCACCTGAAATGTAAGAGTGTATTCCCGACGAATTGGAGGAAAGAAATATACACCGTTTCTTTTTCTGACTTAATTTACCCTTTGATGTACAATCGTTTATAAGTTGTTACTGTCAAATACTGACACCTACACACAAACATAGAGGCTATCGATGCTAACCAGTTTTTTCGTTTGCGATGGAATTCATCTAACTGAGTTTTAGGATATCTTTTGTAATATAGAGGGAAGCCAATTTACTTGCGTGAATGCGACTAGCTGCCTTAGTGTCTCCTGGATAAGACCAAAATAATAGTCGCCGTCGGTGTCCCTCTCCCGTATTGTTGATAGGCTGTGGCCACGTGCTGGCGCTGAGCAGACGGTCATGAATGCTAAGTTTATTTTCAATTGAATGAAATCTCCAGGATTTGTTCTGGATAAATGACTACCGATTCATACAATTTGTTACATCAAAATATTTTCCATTGAAGAAAAAAATCGGGAAAAAATTATAGTTATTTTTCTGTATCAAACACTTTGAATATTTGTTAGTATTTATTTCAAAGGGAGTGAAACTTGTAACGCCCACAGTATATCAGGCGCTTGTAAAGACAGACGTGTTCATAAACGTAGCTTTGAATCTGAAAATCTTTCCCCTTAATGGGCCGATACCATCTACAATTACGCTGATCATAGCCACTAATCTGCCGACTAACACGCCAGCGCGCAGCTACACTTGTACACAGTAACCACACAATGGGTCATCAACTCACTAGCTAAAGGTAAGCCCCAAGATCAATTCTCTACGGCGAAATGTTTTATCCATTTTTATGATCTTTGGAATCTAAAAATATACTGTTTTCAAATTAAATCTATTATACATCGCGTTGATTGACGTAGCTATAATAGAGAAGAAATTTATTCATCCGCTTATCATAGACTTGTAAAGTTGTGGCAAAACCTACAGTATTGAATAGCCGGGGTTTAGGGCCAACAAACCATTACTGTCACACGAAATGCTTTGAAACCAGTAATTTACTTTATGTTTAAATTCCGTTTGTGAGTTAACAGCAAAGCTAAATGATATTACATCAACTTAGGAAACCGACCGATGTAGTATCTTGGGATGGTTTTAACAAGGACAGATTGAATTTCATTGTTTTCACTTGTAGTTAATTTTCACAAACTTAAGTTAGGAAATGAAAAACAATTTAAAGATCCGTTATTGTTAAGGATATCTTTCATCTTGAGAGTATACTGCCTTTAGCAATATTTTATGTACAAACAGCTTAAACACCGGTCGGCGCTGCTTGTGAGTTGAGTACACCAACCTGGTTCTGTGTCTATACTTTGTTATTTTTAAATGTTCATTTTCAATTTGCTTCCTTCCAGAATGAAATAGAATTTAGATTGATGTTCTCGGTAAAAAATTATGCTATCCACATCGTATTACAGAAGTAAGGTGTAGGTAGACGTTTTTTATTCAAATATAATCAACAACTGTCGTAGAATGCGCTTTTCATTACTGAATACGTTAAAACAAAATTAATTTATAGCAAAAATAAATCTAAAATAACGAAAAAACGTCTCACTCCGGAGTCAGTACTACTTACCTTTTCTGCACTAGTTTCTGTACAAAATTCGTAGATTTAAAATCCAAAGTTACGAACCACCACTGATTACAGTGCCGTCGTATTTAAAGGAAATAAAACAGACAATTGCAGACTACAACCGATGGCGAAAAGTGTCAAACGGAACATCCGTATATAACAGTGTTCCACGCCAACCAATACAGGAAGTGCTGAAATTCCAGTTTTCTAGAATTATCCATGTTTCTTGCGAAAATCAATTTAGAAATGAATCACAACTTTATATACTGTACACGTAACTAATTATTTATACCTTAATTCTCATTTTACATCCAGGTATAGCAAAGCTACAAACAAGAATATTGTGTAATAATCCATCCGTTCATTTTCCAATTGGGCACATTCCGGAATACGACACCTAAAATTATCACTTTTTGAACAGTCGTTCTTGACTCAATCAAGACGAAATAGACGAACACATTAAAGTTCTATTCAACGATTTTGTATCATTTATATATCACTTTTAAATCAAGTGTTATTGTTTGTTCGGGAGAAACATAGAGCAGTGTACTTAAGCGATACAAGTCTCATGTGATACTCCTCCAAGCGTCCGTTCGAACAATTCTTTTGAAATTACGTTCCCTGATAATGCGACTGTTTGACATAAGAAGTAAAAACTCGGTTCACACCGCTATATTGGGCAGGATTGTATGACCCCTTAACCTTCTACGGAGCAGTAGTTAGTGTATCCTCGATACTTGGGAATTGCCGAAAGCAACAAGATGTGTCCACGATAGTCGGGAAAACCTTTACACAGATCACTGATTGACTTGGGGTCTCGTCCTTTAAGTATTGTCAGCTTAACACGATAGATGGACAAGCGTCACCAAACATACATATTTGTAAACATGTAATGAAACAATCAGTCAATAGTTTGCATATGGTGTAAGGTCGAATCAAGTTAATTAAGAAACATTAACTTGATATATGATAATCCGTCCATTGATACGTTATGGAGAGTGTTTTGCTGACTGGACAGAAGCCTGTAAATGATCAAGAGACGATCTAGATCTGTTGGGGGTAATTACTGAAGTAAGGCGACCCTGGAGAATAACGGGACACTTATTTCACATGAGTAAAGAACCCGTCAATTCATGATACAAATGGCCGCTTATACACTTCAGAATAACAGGCAGAGGGGAGAGGAACACATCTCAATGTTTTTGTCGTTTTGTCTCGGAATAATTTGTATAATGTCAACATGACTATTTAAACATTTGACTGTGGAGGTTCTCCCCGGACACTTTGAGAGCAAGCATTATGTTAACAGAGTTTAAATGGACTTGAGAGATGAAAGTGGCTAATTCACGATAGCATATCTTAGTATCTACAAGTACGGATCGCACTCAGCTTTCCCAGGCATTTAAAGGCGAGACATATTCTAAACACATGTAACCCCAGATACACAGAACTGTGACACTGGAGTGAAGTATTATATCTGCTATCTGTGTTTTGTACCTTTGTTTTTACCCCCTCTTCAACTTGTGTATGTTTGATCAAAACCTCTGCCGTTTCATGATTGATCTGTTAGTTGATAAAAGGGAAAAGTTTGATAAAATGTGTGTTCATTTATAGTTCTGTATAGATTAAATAATGATAAATTGCAAAATCATTTTAAGATGAAATGACGACGAAATATTTGATTGTACAAATATCTAAATATTATTAATTGTTTTGGTTTGTCATTGACGTTTAAAATACTCGGATGTTTAAAGTCAAACAGTAAATATTTGTACTTATAAACGATAAATACCAATCAGATGTAAACGTTCTATCAAGATATATATAAATATGAGGTTCATAGACATATATGTGATTTCTGTGTATTCATAACTGAGGAGAATAGCATTGCTTACAATATAAATGGAAGATTTAAAATTGCCTCGAATATATGCATCTGCTGCATCTAGGCACATGCACTTTTTTAGGGGTTATCGTTATACGTGTTTAAACCAAAACCTTTAACAATTCAAAAAGTCGTAGATAAAAGTATTCAGTCGACTCGCCAAATCATGTAGTGGAATCATCGTTATCGCAGGCTATAGCATTGCCAACAAGAAGACGCTGTCATTGCTATTCCCCGCTCGCAGTGCAAAATTTATTGAAAACATGAAACGTAAAATATAGGTTAAAATCAGCATCCGCAATATGCATTCAGTAGAGGAACCCTAGATAGACAATTGATGCAAGTATACTCAACATAGCACTTGTAGTAGGCAAGATATAAATGAGAGCGATTCTTCTTAATCAAGTGCATGAACGGACGGACGGACGGACCTCATTTCTATATCCCCTTCCAACTCGTTGAGCGGGGGATAAACACTCGTTTGAGTCGATTTAAGATGTTCTTGCACATCTGCTTATGACATTCAATAGGTGTGTCCTATCGAAATAATTCATAACAATTTCCATCATGATGTGCTGTTTCGTCTTTTCTTTGTAGTGTCAATCATATCATTTATAAAGAAGAATTGAAGTCGGCTATGCATGCGTTGTTGTATATTAATGTTAAGGACAGGAGTGATAGAGTTCATTCATCCTATTTGTTAAGCCGTTTTATTACTTATAATAGACTGACTAGATCAAACATTTATTTGTGTTTGATATAAGGTTAAGTCTACAGAGTTTGAATCGGATATTGGAAAATACACTTAAGGGGAAAATATCAGTAACATGCTCATGCTCCTCTGCAGTGTGTGTCATATACAAAACTGAGTCATTTACGGGATGTAAAATGGATGTAGCTTTTCTTAAAAATTAAACTAAAAATAGAAATGTCATTAAAACAATGACATGACATCCTTGGAAGTGAAAAGAAATATTATTTCATAAATATATATGCAATGCCTAATGTTGAATTGACCGTGTTTTTACTTTTCAGTTTCAAAGGGAGCTGTGTTCGTAGACAGGCATGAATCCTCGTAGGTACACATTCTGTTGCATTTTGTAAAATGGTCCAAGCCCAAGAATCCTCAACGTTACCTGTTCTTACAAAAATAGTCTTACGGGTTTTCTTTTGAATTGGACAAATTCGGGGAATATTTTTAGATTTTTTTATCAAGGCGTGTGATTATCAGTAAATGTTAAGTGTTGTCTCCCATGCTAATCATTTCATTGAAATTACAGAAAAGGAGAGAAATATCATTTCATTGAAAAGGAGAGAAATCTTTTTTTATAGAATGCAGAAAAAACATGTATGAATACGCAAGAATTAAATTGAAACACAGCGTCGATATGACAAGAATAAACAGGAACTGAGAAGACGCCAAAACAAAAGTAAACCACGGTGAACCAAAAGCGAAACCATTTGGTGAGACAGGTTAAACTTAAATGGAAAAAAGAGATATAACACAGCGTCAACCTAAATGGAGATATTAAACCTCAAAATTGATACGAAGAGACATCATCAAGAGCTAAGGTGACACCAAAACAAAGGAAAGACAACTTCAGGAATTGTGCTGACGACATGACAAACAAAACCACAGTAAAACAACAACAGGAACCGAGACCAAAATAGAGAAAAAAGACAATAGGAGCTGAGGTGACACCGGAAAAGGAAAGGAAAAACATGGGCATCCATAGGTGGCAACTTCCATGATGTCTCCTGCCAAACCAAAGGTACCTAGCTATCTAAAGCTTAGTGAGGAAGTCCTCAATAGACACTTCTTTAAAAATTAGGTCAGGATGTGCCTTAAACTTTTGTTATGAGCATATGCTGTGCAGAAGCGGTTTTAGAGATGTGTATGACCCCTTAACCTCACACGGAGCAATAGTTAGTTGAATGTTGTATTGAAATATTACATATCATAGGAGTCGTTCTACTTATAGTGCGTATGTAATTCACTGAGGTAAACCAGAAAGATAATCTCCATCTAGATAGAGCATCATCCATTTCATAATCTGTGTGTATATTTGAGTAGTGTGCAAAACTGGATGATTCATTGCTAATCATTAAAAGAAATAGTATATGTAAGTATCATACATACTTGACGTTTCGGTGACCGCATGATAACTTTTGTTTGCATAGAAACGGGCGTATTGATCATCTTAAAATGAAGCATCAGTGATTAACTTGAGCTGTTTTAGTTATTGTTTCCAGTAATTTTCATTATGTCTGGTTTACAGCCAATCGGACTCCATTGTCACTTTCTGTAAAAGATCAAATATGCTCTTGTAAATAGAATGTGCCGACGGGTTCCAATCGGGTGAAGGCGTCATAGGGAGAAAAATAGGAAACTTTTGCTTGGAAATTCGAACTCAAGAACACAAATAAAAATCAATGTTATTAAGTCAAATACGTTCTAGATTTTTATTTTTATTTTTTTCCCCCGTTAAAACTACCTTTATGTGAAAACTATAATGCACTAATCATTGAAAACGAAATTCCTATTACAATTGCTTCTTCTAAGTCTAAAGGTGTATCTATTGTGATGAAACATAACTGCAGGATATATTTAATTTTGGAAAAGCAATCCTCCTTATCCATGTCATGAATAAAGCGTAGAGTGAACCGTCTTAAGTAGAAACCCCTGTGTAAGTAGTGAATGGATCAACAACACGAATCTATCCTGAAACGTCTGGAGTAGCGAACCTACCGAAGCATATAATAATACATCATTTTTTCATCTGAACCCAATATTATTTCCAAGTATGGAAAGAAAGCAAGTTCTGATCATTTTGTAATGTTGAAAGTTCAGAAGGACCTAAATATCCCCTGCCACTCTCCAAAAAGGATATGCACTCTACAAAAGCTCACATAGATTATTCTCCACATACGCATTAAACTTATTTTCGATAAGGGCATGTTTATGAACTGACTAAAATTGCTCAGTTAGTGCGGAAGGTTTGCAAATTAATGGAAGCACATAATGAACAAGAAAAAAAGGGAAGTGCAAATCACTTGATCATGGTAAATATTTAAATGTAATAAGTATGCTATGCTAATATTGTTATTTAAAGCGAAGCATATAAGTAACAAAAAGTATTGACGTAACCTTTAAAAAAGTGAATAGCAATAAACGGGGAATGGTGCTTGATTTACTCCGACTGTCTACTACAAATATCGCCGACCGTCGATCTCGGAGTGGGCGCACCTG